TTTGGAACACATGTTCTTAGTGGTAGCGGTGGTGGTTGTGGTGGTTGGGGGTGGTAGTTGTGGTAGTTGGGGGTGGTAGTTGTGGTGGTAGTTGCGGTGACTGGCGTAGTAACCCAGCCATCAAATAGTCACAGACGTGGACATATTTCCTTGTTCTTCTTTAAGGCCGTTAATATGTGCGAAATGTATATCTGTGCGAAATGTATATATATTCATATAAAGAACAATGTATGAGGTAACCAGTAACAAGGATACACACACAACATATTAATACAAGAGTTTGTGTAGAATATTTGAGGAGTGTTGTGCTTCATGTTGGCGCAGCGTACAAGGTGGACAAGTTTTTGTGGTGTGGCGGGAAGTTGTGGTGAGTGCGAGGAGTCATAGTGTGCGGGCGGTGGTGGAGGCACAGTGGTGAGCACACTGGTGGTGTAGTGTGTACTCTGTGTGGAGGTGTAGTGTGGGTGTGGTATAGCGTGGACGGACACAACCCTTAACAACACAGGACACGCCACAACTCGTGGAGCAGACAGCTTGGTGCTGTAGCAGTTGTGCGCCAGACTGTGCAGTAAGGGGCACTCAATAAGAGCAGCCTTCACAACACGCAAGACCTCCATTCTTGGCATAAGAAAACAAGCGCCTGTTATTGGTTCTCTCCCGAGTATCCCTCACAGATATATTTGGTCTGTAACGCTGTGTAAACTTTACATTTACTTTGAACGATCTTCCAGATCTACGGTTCAGACGTTTTCTATAACTAGTTCATAATTACAATGCACGCTTAGTTAAAGTAATATTGTGGTTCCGGTCCTGAATATAGTTACTGTGAGGGTGTGTAACTTGTGCCAGCAGACACTGGGTGGTGCGAGACACACAAGCTGATCAACTCTGCCATTGACAGGTAATATTAATACAGTATAACAACCTTCTTCAGTATTAGTCACGTGTTTTACCACGTCGCGTCCCTTGTGTCCCAGTGAGCACACAGCCTGGAGGACCGCGACGTTGAGAGATAAACAAAACAACAAAGAGGAACTGTGACATATTAACATAGGTCCTCGTTGTCAAGGGAATCATCGTGTCAGAATATTGTGCACTTCCTTAATAAACATGCTCTCGCAATCTATAATAATCGAAACACTTCGCTCGCCCGTGCATTTTCAGCGGTTAATATGACGCCGCCAACTCTTGCCTCAGACCAAAAACTGGGCGCCAGTAGCGGGGGGTTCCCCGGGTCGACACCCGGTCAACTGGACACCAGTCCTCGCCACCTTGCAATAGGCTTCATTTTCTTGTTGACCAGACCACACTAGAAGGTGAAGGGACGACGACGTTTCGGTCCGTCCTGGACCATTCTCAAGTCATCGACAAGTCATCGTCAACATACTTTAGCCACGTTACTGTGACTCATCGCCTGCATTTTCTGGTGTTTTACTATAAATTTTGTGAAAATTTTGCCTGTTGTTGTTGTTTTAGATTCAGCTACTGGGAACAAAAAGTTCCAAGCAGCACGGGCTATATAGTGAGCCGTCGTACTCACCTGGTACAGGAGATGTGCCCAAATTTTTGGTCCATACTGGGTACTTTTGTGTTGCATCCATCATACACCACACCCTACTGGTGTACAGGTTCCTAGGCCTCAAGAAGCTCAGGAATCTGTACACCAGTACATTGACACTTGAGAGGCGGGACCAAAGAGCCAAAGCTCAACTCAAACTCATCCTCGCAAGCACAACTAGCTGAGTACATACACCACACTGAAGGTCCCAGTAAGTCTGCTGCTGAACCTATTGGTCTAAAATTCTAAACAAGTTCATTTGGAGTATAAGAATGTTCACACAATTTCAGTAACAATGATCAAGCGTAAGCCATCCTTAAAATTAAACCACTTGTTATGGAATAATCAGGGTGACGGAGGCCACAGCTTCACTATACACCATATTCATCACTGTAACCAACTTCACTACACAACAATCATTATTATTATATCCATCTTCACTATATACTGTCTTCATCTATGTGATTGGGCACTGTTGGATTACCTAGCTATAAATTACTCTCTCACCACCTTCCCTACCCTTCACCACCTTCCCTACCCTTCACCACCTTCCAAAAATCGTGTTCAAAAATCTTAGAAGATTGTGAGGCATTCCTTGGGTGGTTAAAGGAAGTGTTACCAACCTGGAGCACCTCCAGACTTAATGACACATCCACCTAATCTGTCGTATATATAAAGATCCAATGTGGGTGCCTACACGTAGGGCTGAGAAGAGGTAAGGTAATAAGGAGAAAGTGGTAAGACAGTAAAGAGTATGTAGCACTTGGATGGGATATAAGGATAAGGAGCTGGGATAGGACAGAGGGCCGTCGAGGATGGAACGCAGACCTGATAGAAGAGAGACTGTGCCTGTACCGTACAGTGCAAGTGGTTATCTTGAGATGATTTCGGGGCTTTATTGTCCCCGCGGCCCGGTCCTCGACCAGGCCTCCACCCCCAGGAAGCAGCCCGTGAAAGCTGACTAACACCCAGGTACCTATTTTACTGCTAGGTAACAGGGGCATAGGGTGAAAGAAACTCTGCCCATTATTTCTCGCCGGCGCCTGGGATCGAACCCAGGACCACAGGATCACAAGTCCAGCGCGCTGTCCGCTCGGCCGACCGGCTCCCATTATAACATAAGCCGCCGGTGTATCACTCTGCTGTATAGTGAAGATATTGTCTTGTCCCCTCCAGCGACTCTTTAATATTGTGTGTTGTATGGTTGGGACCTTCATAAGTGGTATGTTGACACTTGTGTTGTGGAGTGTGACTTGAGTGTGGCAGCGAGACACACTTAACCCCGCTAGAGTGTCATGTCACACTTGAGCGGTATAGTTGAGCAATTGATGCTCTCTTGCCCAACTTCACTCCTAGTGTACCCAGGTCGTGGAGGCTGTCTCCTGCCTGCAGGTCATGGGGGCTGTCTCCTGCCTGCAGGTCATGGGGGCTGTCTCCTGCCTGCAGGTCATGGGGGCTGTCTCCTGCCTGCAGGTCATGGAGGCTGTCTCCTGCCTGCAGGTCGTGGAGGCTGCCTCCTGCCTGCAGGTCATGGGGGCTGTCTCCTGCCTGCAGGTCGTGGAGGCTGTCTCCTGCCTGCAGGTCGTGGAGGCTGTCTCCTGCCTGCAGGTCATGGAGGCTGTCTCCTGCCTGCAGGTCATGGGGGCTGTCTCCTGCCTGCAGGTCGTGGAGGCTGTCTCCTGCCTGCAGGTCGTGGAGGCTGTCTCCTGCCTGCAGGTCATGGAGGCTGTCTCCTGCCTGCAGGTCATGGAGGCTGTCTCCTGCCTGCAGGTCATGGAGGCTGTCTCCTGCCTGCAGGTCGTGGAGGCTGTCTCCTGCCTGCAGGTTATGGAGGCTGTCTCCTGTCTGCAGGTCGTGGAGGCTGTCTCCTGCCTGCAGGTCGTGGAGGCTGTCTCCTGCCTGCAGGTTATGGAGGCTGTCTCCTGCCTGCAGGTCGTGGAGGCTGTCTCCTGCCTGCAGGTCGTGGAGGCTGTCTCCTGCCTGCAGGTTATGGAGGCTGTCTCCTGCCTGCAGGTCGTGGAGGCTGTCTCCTGCCTGCAGGTCGTGGAGGCTGTCTCCTGCCTGCAGGTCGTGGAGGCTGTCTCCTGCCTGCAGGTCATGGGGGCTGCCTCCTGCTATTCAGCAAGAATATAACAGTCATTTGAATGCAGGCGATGAGTCACAATAACGTGACTGAAGTATGTTGACCAGACCACACACTAGAAGGTGAAGGGACGACGACTTTTCGGTCCGTCCTGGACCATTCTCAAGTAGATTGTGAGAATGGTCCAGGACGGACCGAAACGTCGTCGTCCCTTCACCTTCTAGTGTGTGGTCTGGTCAACATTCATTTGAATAGCGGTGGGATAAATGCTACAGCCGCAGACGTTGAGAGTGGGAAGGTCACATTCATGTAGCATAATGAGACACAAGGTCACGCACTACCTTCACTACCCACATCTGGGACACTCTGCTACATTTTGAGAACAATATAATTTTAAATAAAATATTCAGATACTTCAAGAACATTAGTGATAGTCTAGTCATTAGATAGGTAGTCTATTTTATGCGTAAATATCCACCAGGAAAATTAAGGGAAAGTTTTGGTGTTTGAAGACATTATGAAGGAAATGCAGAATGATGAGAGGAGTTTATAAATATATACCCAAACATCACGTGACTAGACAGAACACAAGGGGCTAAAACATCAATGGAGGTGAGATGATACAGTGGATGATACTAGATATTCATACATTCATACACTATTTGTATACCTATCACTACTCTTACCAATTCTTAAGTTATCTAATTGCTATAATTCTGTACTAACATTAATATTATCTAAATTAATTGGAATGATTCCAAAGTTTGTTGGTGCAGCATGATATGTAGCCGAGTATGATGATTGATAAAGATTAAGCCACCCAAGAGGTGGCACGGGCATGAATAGCCCGTAAACCCCGCCGAGTATGAGATGAAGCGCCTCACTTATAGGTCCACTGTATCATGTCACACTCCTGTATACATGATGGCTGGTGCAGTATGTGGACGGTCATTGCTGGCCAAGGTGGGACCTCCATGTAAGTCAAGTGCAGGCTTCCTGTCCCCGACAACGGCCATTATTATTGGTGGCATTGTAGAAAGGTGTTACGTTATTATTATTTGGAACATTATTAGCACCGTGAATTCAAGTGAACAAGGTAGGCAGATGACCCGCACGAGTCATTCATCCTTAAACTGACAAGTGTGTTTTTGTCTCAATAATACCTCGCATTATCTGCCGCCGCTCACTATGTCATGCCGCTAACATTAAACACGAACAGGCAACGGTTTTGTTTGTTCAAAACTTGTCATTTATGAAGACTGACTCTCCCGTTACTGCTGTAAAGTGTTTATATTTTATGCACTTATAAATGTGTCAGTTTAATGTGCATTAAATAGTAATAATCTTTATGTGTTGCAGGTTCTCCTCAATGGACGGATTCTTCTTCTCGATATTCCTAGCTGTGTGCATCGCAGCGGCCATAGTGATCCGCTTCTTGTGCACCAGAATCAACTGTAGAGGTCGGGAGGTTTCCCAAGACGACGAGATCATCATCTCCAGGGGCACCACGCCCGTCATCGTGGCCTCCCAGACCAGCCGCCAGCAGCAGCAGCAGATGCAACAGCTGTCTCGCGCCATCACAGACTCTCCGCTCGTGACTCGAAATGGAGAGGTTTTTACGATTTACACATTTTCGACTCCGTCGACTCCGGAGGTTGAGCGGTCAAGCCGCACTCCGCCTCCTCCCAAATACTCTTCTCTCGCCGACTCCCCACCCAAGTATGAGGACCTCTTTCCGTTAACGGACATCTGCACTTCCTGCAAAAGCAACATTTCCCTTCCGGAGGAATACACTCTTCCCGTCATCGCTCTTCAGCACCAACACCTCCTCCAGCCTCCTTATGATCCTCATTTGCCAGCATTTGCCAGCATTGCCGCAGCAACCATTAAAGTATCATCAGATCTCTCCCCGGAGCCTACACCCTCCCCCAGTCCTACCACCACTCCAAGCGGCCCGCTTGTTCCACATGACTCTGTCCATGCCACAGGCCCTTCCCACAGCCCAGTCCACAGCCCAGTCCACAGCCCTGCCCACAGCCCTGTCCACAGCCCTTCCCACAGCCCTGCCCACAGCACTTCTCACAGTCCTGCCCACAGCCCCAGCCTCACCCATAGAACTATACCGACCGCCAACACCAGTACCTTCGACTCGACCCAAACATCTTCCGACATAACACCAACCACTTGGGTAATGCCACCAGACGAGAGGCCATCTGTGTCCACCTTCCCTGTAACTAGGGATGGTCAGTAAAGTGGCTGAAACACGTCAAACTTGGAATTGTGATCAGTCTTGCCTCACAGTTAGATCTAATCTAAATGGGGACAAAAAAGTGCCTTGGAATCGGTTTGAGGCAGTCATAGCTCAAGATAATCTCAGGTGATGTGATGGAGCTGGTGTGAAGTAGCTAGGATCACCGCTCCTACGCTTTGTGATGCTAGTATGCTCATGACTTTCCACTGATGCTGTGGAATGTAAACTTAAGTGGTGCTGTGACACGTGACTCTGTCTGGTGCTATGTCCACTTGATCTTGACAGGTGATTCTGTCGCACATGAGCTTGAATGACGGTGTTATATCACGATAGCGACTGGCACTGTCACTTGAAACTGACATGTGTACAGTCACATAATTCTAACTGGCGGTCCTGTCAAGATCTTGACTTGCCAGGTCAACTGGTGTCATGTCAGCTGGTGTTAATTAGCAGTGTCACACATCAGATGATACTTTGTGGTCTAGTCACAGACTTAGTGGTGGTGAAGGCTTGAGAGGTGACGGTAGTCGAAGGCTGCTGGGAGAGATGTTTGCTAGCTTCTCTACTCTCCTGTTAGGCGCCACGAACACTTCTGCAGCATAATACTATATACATATTTAGTTACTCTTATGATGTAACTTACTGTTACCAAACAATTATATAAACTAAGCTGTGGTCTCGGGTCATTAACCCGTGTCCCTCGTGGACCATTACGATATAGAAGGAACCTATATTTTTTGTAACAATATGAAAGAATGAAAGCATTTTCTACAACAAAAAATATATGGAAAGCAATGTAAATAATGTATGGAATTCTTAAATAGTGGTCTCGTACCTTTACTTAATGTGAATGTCTTACGACGCGTCTTAAGGGTACAAGTTTTTATGCTCAAAGTGGTTGGAATATTTTACTATGGCTTTGCAGGTGGCGGTGGAGGTCGCCGGGATGACCATGGTACACCATGCTATAGTATGAGTGTGTGGTTATAACACTGACCATGACTGGTCACAACACTGACCACGCAGCTGGTCACAACACTGACCACACAGCTGGTCACAAGACATTTCAATATTTCCTCAATACATGACCAATGCCACCTGCTTCATTTATTATAAGATTGTGTTGTGGGACATTAATCTGTCCAGTGATAAAGACAGTGAACTGAGGTTTGTGTCGTAACATGTGATAAAATAACAGGGTAATATTACTCACAACAAATATCCATAAAATATGGAACAGGAGAGCATCTGAGGGTCCAGGAGCTGTGGTTCAACACACACAGCCAGGTAAACACTCAGTGAGTAATTACCAAAAGGTACCAAGCCGGGCAGGCTACACAGTCCTGGCTTAGTGCCTTCTGTTGATAATTACTTGGCTTAGTTACCGAGTGCTTACCTGACTGTGTGTTTGTGGGGGGGGGGGTTGAATCATAGCACTTGGACCCTGCCTCTCAGTCACAGTCATCTCTCATACTCTAGCAACGCCATCTATATTCGTGGTTAGCCATTATTATTATTATTATCCATCCCATTGCTTAGTACTTACCAAGTAACACACATGTACAGTGTAGAACACACACATGTACACTGTAACACACATGTACAATGTAGTACACACACATCTACAGTACAGACATAAACACAATTGACAATAAAAGGTACAGCCTAGCTATTATTCAACATTTGCTAGATGTTTTTGTCCCATGTCATATTAGCAGTAATGTGTTTGAGTGTGACTAGCATTGTGTTACTGGCGCAGTTTGAAACATATTATTATCCATCGCGGAATTTGAGACAGATGGTGAAGACTATAAATCCATATTTTCTTTTCAGTACTGTACAATAATAATAATAATAATCACAATGTTTATGTAGATAAAAGTACATACAACAGTGCATACAAAATTAGTTAAAAGCAGAATGTTGGATCAACCTATATATATATATATATATATATATATATATATATATATATATATATATATATATATATATATATATATATATATATATATATATGTCGTACCTAGTAGCCAGAATGCACTTCTCAGGCTACTATACAAGGCCTGATTTGCCTAATAAGCCAAGTTTTACTGAATTAATATATTTTCTCTATTTTTTTCACATGAAATGATAAAGCTACCCATTTAATTATGTATGAGGTCAATTTTTTTTTATTGGAGTTAAAATTAACGTAGATATATGACCGAACCTAACCAACCCTACCTAACCTAACCTAACCTATCTTTATGGGTTAGGTTAGGTTAGGTAGCCGAAAAAGTTAGGTTAGGTTAGGTTAGGTAGCCGAAAAAGTTAGGTTAGGTTAGGTTAGGTAGGTTAGGTAGTCGAAAACCAATTAATTCATTAAAACTTGGCTTATTAGGCAAATCGGGCCTTGCATAGTAGGCTGAGAAGTGCGTTCTGGCTACTAGGTACGACATATATATATATATATATATGTCGTACCTAGTAGCCAGAACTCACTTCTGAGCCTACTATGCAAGGCCTGATTTGCTTAATAAGCCTAGTTTTCATGAATTAATGTTTTTTCGACAACCTAACCTACCTAACCTAATCTAACCTAACTTTTTCGGCTACCTAACCAAACCTAACCTATAAAGATAGGTTAGGTTAGGTTAGGTAGGGTTGGTTAGGTTCGGTCATATATCTACGTTAATTTTAACTCCAATAAAAAAAAATTGACCTCATACATAATGAAATGGGTAGCTTTATCATTTCATAAGAAAAAAATTAGAAAAAATATATTAATTCAGGAAAAATTGGCTTATTAGGCAAATCGGGCCTTGCATAGTAGGCCAAAAAGTGAGTTCTGGCTACTAGGTACGACATATATATATATATATATATATATATATATATATATATATATATATATATATATATATATATAATATATATATACTATGCCTGAAGTCACCAATACGCACAGCGTTTCGGACAAGATGTGGAAAAAATAAAGTTACAAACTAAAACTTAATACCAATTGAGATGTGTGTTTACCGGCTAGTAATAACTAGCGCCAGCACTGAGGCGTGTGTGGTGGTGGCTGGGGAGTCTTCAACTGGCAGCGCTCGTCCGGGGCCACACAATAGGCGCGGCCCACCAGGTTTCATCAAATATATATGCAACAGCTTACGACATCTGTACATCAGTATTCAATCATGGCGGCTTTGATTATATTTAATAAACAGTTTATGAGTTCCGAAGACTTCTAAGTTGTTTATAACAATAATAACCTTGGGTTGTGAAGTTTCGAAACTAGTACAGTAATGTGTAAACAAAGCCTCAGTTTTGAGGAAAGGTGTACTTTTGAAACTGAAATAAGTTTATTGAGGTAAAATACACACAAAGGGATGAGGTAGCTCAAGCTATTCTCACCCCGTTCAGTACATCGTGTTAATACAGACATAGACACACACATCACAAGCAATAAACGTATTACCGAACATTCTGAGAGATAAACATATACATTTTCTAAGGTGTACTAGTTTCCGTAAGTGGCTACTTAAGTGTTTGATGAACTCTACCCTGTTACGGGCTCACCTTAGCCCGTGCTACATGGACATTTCGTTCTGAGTAGGTAAATCTAAATCAACAAAAGAACCCTACCGTGGTGGTTGGGGCGTCCTTCACCCGTAGCGGGCAGCGCTCAACGCAGGAACAGTTCGCACAACAGAAAAATACTTGGGAACTGTTCGTAACTTTAGTCAAATTAGCAATTGTTAGTTTGTAATAGAGGTTGGTGCCAAGCAGCGCCATGGGTGTTCTCCTCATGCTGTTGGGGGGGAGGGGGGGGGGTAGTCACCCATTTCCAATTTTAAAATGTTCCATATACAGATTTGTTATTTATTTGTATTATGTTATCATGTTTAGTTTGTATTATGTTAATACATGTTTAGTTAGAGGTTGCAACCCGTTCTCGCACTTTCTTATAGTCAATATTGACTTATTAAATACGTGCATATGTGACATACTAATTTATTGTAATTACTAATTGTAATTACGAAGCAATAAGATGCTTATCTTAACATACTAAGAAGGTTAGGTAAGGTCGGTGTTTTCTATGAAGCTTTTCAAGGTAAACTAAAATATACACAATAAATTAGTATGTCACATATGCACTTATTCAATAAGTCAATATTGACTTAAAGAAAGTGCGAGAACGGGTTGCAGGCATGCAGAGAACACTTCCAGTTTTAACAAAGCTCCAAACATTCAATGTGTAAAGTGTTCGTCATTATGTATTACAACATGTTATTCCGTCCCTGTTAAAGTGTCCTAATTGTTCGCTCTATCATTAAGGAGGGCGATGCATTATTTAACTAATTGTATGTAAGAGAATGCAAAAAAATTACAATGTACAAATACCTGTGTAAAAAGCCAATGTTTATACCAGTGTGAGAATAATAAAATGTATGGACCTACTTCTCTTGCCTTTTATTATGTTATGTAAGATGTGATTCATGGTTATGTGGTTTAGTATTAATAGTATCATAGCCACTCTTCTAGTTAATATATATTCTGCATTATATGTTGACCACCTATTTGCTATTGTATCGATGATTTTCATTTAAAAGTTAAATTACAAATGCAATGAACAGGTCATTAACCTGGTCACCAAATCTTGTATTAAATGTTCATAAAAATTAACATGCTTAAATCAATATTAATATAGAGAGTAAGTCATAATAACGTGCCTGAAAATTAGACACCCAGCCCACATGTTTGAAAATAAAGGAGTTGACGTTTCGGTCCATCGTGGACCATTATAAAGTGTAGTGTTCAAGTACGTTTATTGAGACAATAATAATTGAGACAAGCACTAGGTAGGAAACTATGAGGATGAAATTAGGTACTTTTTGGCTTTATTTTTGAATAAGGTGTAGGTAGGACAGCTTTTTAATTTTTTAGTTAATTAACCAACAATTGTTTAGGTATACACAAGTTACCGCACTCAAAAGGATAGAGTAGCTTAGACTATTTCTACCCCAGAGAGTGCCAACGAAAGTCAATATATAAGACAAGAATGTGAAGTTGAAGGCGAGAAGACCATTGAAGTTAATAATAATAAAGGCAACTATAGACGAAATGTCGAAGAGAAAGAGGTGGGAAAAAAGGCAAAATTAATAGCAAGAGAAGATAAGATAAGATAAAGAAAAGAGCGAGCCTATAGGGGCTAAAGGTAAGTCAGATCCCCTTTAGTTACATACTGAGAAAGGCAAGAGTCAACACCAACAAAGCCAAGACTAAAGTTCATATTGCAACCCGTTCTCGCACTTGTTTACAGTCAATATTGGCTTATTTAATAAGTGCATATGTGACATTCTAATTGATTGTGAATATTTTAGTTTACCTTGAAAAGCTTCATAGAAAACACCGACCTCACCTAACCTTCTTAGTATGTTAAGATAAGCATCTTATTGCTTCTTAATTACAATTATTACTTAACCTATACCTAAGAGTACCTAAGTAACCTAGGTAATTTTTGGCTTTATTTTTGAATAAGGTGTAGGTAGGACAGCTTTTTAATTTTTTAGTTAATTAACCAACAATTGTTTAGATATACGCAAGTTACCGCACTGATGAACTGGCTCTTTAGTGTGGCAGAATTGCCACCCCTTTCACCTACTGATAACAAAAGAAAATGGAAGTATTTAAGCTATGTCTAAAATATTCCGGGGCTACTGTCGTCTTGGTTTTCGTGTAGGATTAAAATATACTTGTTAGTTTATCTGAAGCTATTTGGGTGATCATAATAACCCTCACGCAGTCGAAATAGACCTTAAACCCTACACGAAGCTGTAAATAGAATACTACACTTGGTTTCATGTCGAATCTTGGATTGATTTATCATTTGTTTCTCGGACGGTAAAGGTAATTATGAGGGAAAAAGCTCAAAGCCAGTATGAATATAGCACTTAGAAGACACATGAGAACAAGGAGCTGGAACAGGACAGAGAGATGGAACCCTGCCCAATCACTTAGCCGTCAGAGATCGATTCGCCGACCTATAAGAAGCGAGACCTCCACTGTATTGAGTCCAAGTGATTGGACTCTTGGGTGGGAAGTGATCGAAAATAATTTAGAAAATAACAGCAACAATATCCCTCGTGCCCCCCCCCCCCCCACAAAAACAAAAGAACAATGTGAGAAATCTTCAACTACTCAGCTGAGCGCAAGACATTACTTCCATAACACACTATCTACATTCCTGATATTAATCATATTATGCACTTGTACGTTAGGAGAATTTTAACAAAACATTTCCAGTCTAACATATATCTTTTTAAGTTTTGTAAGGAGAAGCCAAATATACAAAATGGACTAGAGTTGCACTGCGGGCCACAACATACTTATATGTTATGACGTAAGTATGTTATGACAATTAATATAAACACAATTTCTGCATGACCCTGGGCGTGTGGCAGCGTTAATAGCCTCTCGATTTATAAGTCATGACGTTTACTTCATGGGTGTTCAAGTTCTTTATTACACTCCTCCAGCACCTGGTGTTAGTACTCACCTAGTTGTGTTTGCGGGGGGGTTGAGCTCTGGCTCTTTGGTCCCGCCTCTCAACCGTCAATCAACTGATGTACAGATTCCTGAGCCTACTGGGCTCTGTCATACTGTGTATGGAGTCAGCCTCCACCACATCACTTCCTAGTGCATTCTATTTACTAACTACTCTGACGTAGGCACTGAAAAAGTTGTTTCTAATGTCTCTGTGGCTCATTTGGGTACTCAGCTTCCACCTGTGTCCCCTTGTGTGTGTGCCACCAGTGTTAAATAATCCATCCTTGTCCACCCTGTCAATTCCACAGTGGTAGTGGTGGTGGTGGTGTAGTGATGGTGGTAATGGTGGTGGTGGTGTAGCGGTGGTGCCTGGTGGTGGTGTAATGGTAGTGCTGGTAGTGGTGATGGCAGTATGCGTCGTAATCACTATACTCTTCGTAATAAAAACAT